TAAAGATTTCGTCTGTATCCAACTGGATTACTGCCTTCGATCACTGTTAGTTGCGCTATCTGTCATCCTCAAATAATTATTCGTACAACTTAGAATATAAAATATATATGGTAAACGATAGTTTATCTTATACTTCACACAATAGTTTCACCCTCACATTAATAAAACCAGGTACTTCTTGCTGACATTTAATCATAGAATATATATTAAAGGATATTTCGGACCAGAATAATTTTAGACGCTAGGCCTGGTTTAGCAACGAACTGCCGCTCTTTATATCTCTATTCCTGCTCTATTTCCAACACTTTCTTTGCTCTCTTCATTTATACTTTTCTCTGGCATATTGGTCCTTAATGAATATTTACGCATTCTTATAAAATCGAAAATTCTACTTAGTCATAATAGTGTAGCTTTCAGGAAATTTAATTTAAATAAAGTTGAGGACAATCCAATAAAACGATGACTTTAATCGGGCGAAATGAGGGATGTAAAAATTAGTACTAAATTGAAAAGTCAAGCATTTATGGAATCAAGTAATTTACTGTATTATTTAAAATAGTTACTTCATTTCACTAGCCATTGTAAGTTAGTGGTTAACCTTAATAGTAAAACAAGAAGAAGACAGTAATTCTTGTATGTAACGCTAATCCATATGAAAAAAAGTTTATGACGCATTTTTAAGTAAAAATTTCAAGATAGAGCCTTTTACTTGAAGCTAGATTTATTAGTACGCATCTTCTTTCAAGTATATTTTTATATCACATAATTTTAAAGTTTATTTTTAATAGAAATGGGTTTACCTCGTTGTCGCAACTTCGTCTTGTTGTCAAGGGGACTAAGTAGAAAGCAACTAGTTCGAAGTCGTCTGCCATAGTAGTTGACATGATTCCCACCATCAAACAGTGGACTTGGTACATTCTCAAACGTTTCGCCGGCATTAGTCGGCATCATCAGTGAGCCTTGCCATTCTCCGCACCAACATACGAACTCGTCAAAGAGACAAGTAAAGTCAATCCTTCAACGAACGTTCTGCCGAAAACGGTTATACTATCACTCATATTTCTGTCCTGGTCTAGCTATCTACTCTTTACCCTCTTCTACCACTGCCGCCCCATCACAACTTCTCATTTGTTTACATTCCACTCGTCAAAATGTGTGCCCTCTTGTGAAAAATCTAGTGTGGCCTCATCACAAGTGCTATTTACTCCTACCCCTCACTTTCGATAGGTTCATCTGACTCGGGCCTCCAATCTGGATCCTCTCATTGTCTCGTAGATCCGTTCCTTATCTTTCTGGCTGACCGAGTTTACTCGGTTCCAGTCCCTGTGTGCATTTTACTCCACATTATATTTGCCACAAAATGGCACATATTTTGACGGGTGGAATGTAAACAAGTGAAAACTTGTGATAGGGTGGGATTTGGATAAGATGGTAAAGAGTAGATAGATAGACCACGACAGGAATAGGAAGGATAGTGTAACCAATTTTGGCAGAACGTTTGTCAAGGGATTCACAAGAATTTTTAGATTCAGATATCCTAAAATAATCTAAAGGATAAGAATAAAATCGCGCTTTTTTATTTTAACCTGGAAAGCTCTTTAGAATATTAATTAAAATATATTTCGAAATTCGGCTTAGATAAGTTTGTGGATTATTAGCATTGAATTGAATAGTGGATAAGGAACGTGTAGTTAATATGAATTCCAGTTGTACACATTAGATTTATAATTACAATCTGTTTTATATAAAGAGTCTCTACGCTAAGGGCAAACATTTTAAATTCATAAATGAAATCAGTTTGGAATTAAATATCTACTGACTATTTTTATTCATTTTCAGTATATATATATATATATTAAAATTATGTTTGAATAAGAAATGAAATCACTTTTTACCAATGCATCAATCAATTAGCAGTTAAGCTTGCGAGCTAGGTTGTTAGGTAGAGATTCTACCAATGCTATAATAAAATGATTAGATCATACAATAAAATATTGTGTGCTTCTATATTAAAGTTTATCTTATTCTCCCAAACAGTCATTATACATTCGAAATAAATTAAAAATTTAATTTGGAGAATTTTTCTTTGTTTACTACATCCAAATTACACTACTCACCAGTTTTCGCGGTTTTGCTCGATCACATAATCAAAATATAGTTTTAAATAAAAAATTGTAAAAAAACGATGGATTTTAGGTATTGGGCTATAAAAACCACTTTTCCGAGGACGAGAATAATATAGTTCTGATAGATTTACTTCGTTGTCATTTTAAATAAAAGTCATTCTAAATTGATACTCAGGGTATTTTGTATTATGCCTCATGGAAATAATATATTAATTGAGTATAGTTTTTCGAGCTCTATTTTATAGTACTACGAAATATGCTAAAAAAATTTTTTCAGCAATTTTAAACACTTGTAGTCTTATTATAACAATTCTATTAAAAATATGCTCTATGATCCTACATGTTTTGATTTTACTTTTTTAATAAATGCCTTTTATTATAAACTTATACGATATTTATAAGATACAAATTTTAACAGTTTGATCGCGTTTCCGTTCTATTTCATGACGGATGTGTAAAAATTACATATTATATATCAAAGAAAAAATTTGAGAAAAGTTTTACCCATATTTTGATAATATAAATTTGGATAAACCAATTCGATTTTACGATTTATGATGCACACTTTTAGGAATATAATAAGTTATTTTCTTTATATAACACAGATACTATTGATATGATTAGTAAATACCATTTTTCAAGATTTCTGTCAATATAGTTATATATTAAATAAATCCTGAAACATTTTAGTTAAATATTGACTTAAATATACTTAAATTTGTTTTGTTGGATTGGCAGATAATTAATCACAAGTATTATTCTTTTTTTTAAAAACAAGTAATTTCAAGCGATTGATTGGTTGATATGTATGATATGCTTTTAGCCAATAAAAATTTACCATTAAATGACCAATAAGGGTGTATCTTATGACATAGTTCAGTTTAAGATAAGTTTCCTCTATCTCGCATATTAAGTTATCCAAATTTTCATTAAAGTTATGCATATCTTAACAGAAATGGAATATATTCTACCTTCTACTCAGGATATTTAATGGAATATTTGTCCTTAAAATCTATATCTTTGTTCGCCTCTCCAACGCTCATTTTGTCTGGCACGAAGCACATTCATATTTCTTTTTCTTTTTCGAGCAGTTTTTGCTTAACATTGACATTACTAGCTGTTTATAATGCAAATAAACAAGTATGAGGAATATTTTTGTGAGCGATTGTGAATTATAATTTAATTAGGGATGTTTTTGGCATATTTTGTGAAAATGTTCGACCAAATTGATGCCTTCAAATCAAAAATCTTTTATTTAGTGGTCAAAGCATTTGAACAACTTTAACCTATTTATGCTGTCCGACCCAAATCACGCTCATGCACAATCTTACTTAAACTGCACTATTTGCTCCACCTGGACCCAGTCATTTAGACAGGGTTGGTGGGGTTGTGGGCAATGGTGGCGATGGCGGCGATGGCGGCCAAAAAGGACAAGGCTTCATGATACGGAAGTTCTTGAAACTGAGTTGCTGCAGAGGAAAAGTCATTCATTCTCTGAGCCTCCAACTGGACTCTTGACAAAGGCTCCCACAAAAGGCTTATGAGCAGCAGGCAGACCCGTATTTCCGCTACTTCGTGAAAAGGCATTTGTTCAAAAATAGAACAAATAGTGAGACCTAAAGTGCCTGAATTAGTGGGACGAAATTAAGGTTCTAGTATGCCGCTTCATAACTTAAGGTGGAATAGATGAAGGAGACTAACAAAGTATCAAACTTTCATAGCATTTTTCCTAGATTCTTGTATATCTTTTGTATATAACGCATATGAAGGAACAGAACAAATGCCATCCTAGCTGGACGGCATGAGTTTATTGCAACCTTGCTGGAGAGCGTTGCGTGACAAAATCTGGGATCCAGTCCTGCACGAGGAGAGCAAATTAGCTGCCGTTAGCTTAGATCCGATACCACTGAGTATCTTTGCTAATGTTGCCAGGAGTCGAGAGCTAAAAGGAATTCTAGACTATGAATTCAAGGTAGGACTGTGATACATGTTTACTTATACATCTCATCAACCCACTTTAAAGTAATAAGGTAAGATGGTTCAGTTGAATTGCAAATAGTCTGATAAAAATAATTTGATCAGAAATTTAAGAGCCGAAAAACAATGAATTTCATATAATATATGCCATATTACTTTTTATAAAAGACAATTATTTTCAATATTGTCAGGGTGCTTAATATTGGCTATTCAAATATATGGGGTTATAAATAGGTCTGCTCTGCTTAAAAGCATTTTATATTAACGCAAATTGCTTTGGCATTTTAAAGCAGTCGGATGCATTCCTACCTTAAAAGTGGGAAATTACAATTCTAAATGATTTTGCATTGTCTCTTACACGAAAAACCAAACCTCGTTAAAATGCAGGCTTTATTTATAAGAGTTATTCCTCATGTTATCAGTAATTGCTTCCATTTTGCTCTTTATTAAAAGCAAATTAATAACATTTCTTTGTAAACAAATTGTGAAAATCTGTCAAACTGCAAAATTATTCATAATTATGAAGACCAAGATGGTATGGCTTTCTGTTGGATCGCAGTCTCCTTTAGCTTTATAGCGTTGGTTCGACCGAGTTTTCGTAACTTGTTTGGGGCGTCAGAGATACTTTGCGAAACGTACCTAGTCCTGTGTCTTCTGCCATTGTATTCATGATTTTTGGCATCAGACCATTCAATTGGTCCATTCCCAAAAGTTTCGCCGGCATCATCAGCACAGAGTTACAAGTTATCAAAGTGGCAAGTCAAGGCAATCCCCTTGATCAATTTTCTGTTTACTTTGATATGGCGCCACTCACTGATGATGCAGACTACAATGCTGGGGAGATTTTTGGGAATGTATAGGTCAATAATCCGATGTTGGGAATCACGAATATGATGGCAGAGGACACAGGGCCAGGTACTTTCTATAAGGCTTCCCTGACGCTCCAACCAAGTTGCGAAAACGAGGTCGAACCTCGTTATCAACAACGCATTATGATGCTCACCTTTGCTAATAACTTTCATATTAATCGGTCTCCAAATGAAACCTTTGCATCTATAGTAAGCTCAGCTTTAACCCAGCCTACACTTTTATGTTTTGTGATTTTTCATTACTTTTTATTGACCACAAGCCCTTTGCCACTCACAGAACAGTTATGGAATATGGTAAAATCTCTTTAGCAGAATGGTGCGGCAAAGGGAAATAAGCTTATTTGTTTTGAGAATATATTATGACCCGACATTCACTATACCATTTGGCCTGAAATATGAGTGTCATCATAATAAGTAAGAATCGACTTAGATCGACTCAATTTGTGCGTATTTTATACTCAAACTCGGATAAGAGCTAAAAATATACTTTATTTGATAAATCACCCTATTTCCTTCATCATTTCTTTACATACCAAGTCTTATTACCATGTTGTATGAATATGTATGATATAGTCAACTGCCTTAAAGAGTGGTATTATGCCTGCGAAA